AGTTATCAGAATACAGAAAATTCAGTATACAGAATAGAATAAATTTATAGATAAGTTATTTAAAAAAATAAAATATTATTGAAATAAATTACAATTATTTGAATCAATAAATGAATATATTTAATAAATATATTTAAAAAAATATATTTAAAAAATATATATATATATATATTTAAAAAAATTTAATCATTTAATTTGAAGTAAAAAATATTACAAAAGAATAAATTGATTAGCAATAAAAATATGAATTATTATTATGAACATTTATATAAATATATGAATATATGAATACGCTACGTTGAATAAATGTAAGTCATCTATAATTATACACGTGTTACTATGAACATGCCACAAGTGACGAATAGTGATAATTCAAGTTCCAAGAAAATTTTATGACTATATTTCCAATTAGATTTCGCCATAATTCACAAAATTTTTATAGTTTTTTACGAACTTATTCATATAATTAATATCTAATAATTTTCTTTATAATTTTTATTCTTAAACAAATATAGCATTTTTCAGAATTTCGATATTACTATGGTGTTGATAAATGATAAAAAATTACGCTTACCTTCTTGTAATTTTCCAAAAAAATATGATTTATAGAATTTTAATCATTTATTAAGCTACAATATTAATTTCATAAGTTTTATTTAGTTAAGTTAAGTAAAAAGTTAAATTAAGTTAAGTAATTCTCATAATAACTCTTATAAATAATTAATATTATATTTAACAATTAAATGTATTATAATTGATATTAAATATTTTAAATAATATAACAATATAATAATATATGTAATTTTATATTATAGGACAAAGAATTTATTAATTATTTCTAATAATTATTATAATATTTAAATATTTAAAAGTATCTTAAGGATCTTAGACTAATTTTTTCATTTAAGGATCATATTATTCTTTCGTCATCTAGAATGAATTCTATATAATTAGTTCCTTGTAAAAGTGTATGCTTTAAATATGTCTTTCAATATTAAGAATTTGCCTGAATCTCGAATATTCGAATATTCGAAGATTATTTTATTTCTCGTTACGTGCTACTTAAGTTCCATTTTGTTTCCATTCTTTGCCTATTTCTTTCGAAAGAATTCACTGAAGAAAGTTTCATAAATAATGAAAAATAATTAATTAATTATATAATCTCATCATTTTCTCCTATGAAACAGATTCGAAAGTAAAATTAAAGTTAAATCAAGGAAATCGTGAAATGATACATTTAAATCTGCTATGAAAGAAAGGGATTTGAGGGACAAAATATCTTTTTTTCAAAGGATGCTGAATGACCGGAAATTCCAGAAACAAGTTGAGCTGATTGTTAGTTTATTCGCATCACGTAGCGACAATGTAGGATTGCATTACCCATTTATTACGTACGTAAGTACACAGGCTGATGCACAGAATAGGCATTAATATTCCGATCGTCGGAAAACAAATACTTATTAAAATAAAGAGAATTAGAACTAATAGAAAATTCGTTTATAACCTGATCTTATATCTTATCTTCTTTTTAGATTTTTCAGTTTTTTCAGCGAGATAAGGATATAGATAAGATTCGAAAATAATTTAGATAGATATACTGAAATTTTTCAGGTATCTTATATAAATTAAAAGTGTTTTCTATCTATTAATATACTATGATATATTTTCTAGCATAGATATATGAATATAAATTATATTTTATTATTTTTTTTAATTTTTCATTTTTAGTAATTTTATTTAAATAAATTACATTAATCATCATTGTGAAATAAAGAAAAACCCATTTATATTTTAAATTAAAATTCTGTTTTTTTGCCTGTAAATGAAAGTAAACAAATTCCTGCTACTTTTAACGATATTATCCTCGTGTGACGTTCATCTGATAGGCATTTAAAGGCTTAAAGCTAGAATTATTCACCGATGTTGTAGCCTCTAAGGGAAGCCTTTAGTGAGATTAAGAAAAAACGAATGCAAGTAATCTATTTAAACAAGGAATTTCTAATTATAATGTTTCCATGAGACCAGTTAGCGAAAGTTATCGAGAAGATAACTAATAAACTGATTAAAAAACATGATATGAAGCATACTGTAAAAAAAAGTAACATGAACGAATGAATCAGCTCTATGCTATACCGCCTCACACGATGCATCTTAAGTCACAGATCAAACAGCAGTTCTTGGCCTGAATTGTTAACCTCTGACCTCGCTAATCCTCTTATGCTTGGACTCAAATAAGATCTTCCTTTCACTTTATACGCGTACATGAACCATTCTTGATCACGGATCAACCGTAAAGCTTCCTGATTAATTCTTAAGAAAATAGAAAGAAAAATTTATTTCCAGTCTGTGGTTAGAATTTTGTATCTTTATAAATATATCTAAGTTCTAAAATAAAAAGATGGTTTGAAATTGAAAGAAATTGTTTGTGATTTGATAATTTAATATTGAATATTGGATAATCGAATGTCTAATATTTAACATCAATCAAAAAATTAACATCGAAGAATGAATTTGGAATATTAAAAAGTAAAATACTAAATAAATACTAGATTATATTGATTTCAAAAAGATATACAGTGAGCATTAAGTATTAAATTTGAAATTTATTATTTCGAATACAGAAAAAAATATCAAATTTATACATATAGATAACACCATTAATTTCTGATTTAAGGGAGAACCACAAGCACCAATTGTATTAACTGCAGCAGAAACGAATAAAGTTCATCCCGTCGAATCACCACTTTTGGTACGATTAGTCGATGGATCAACTCCATTTGAAGGTAGACTGGAACTTTTTCATCGTGGTGATTGGAGAGCTATATGTACGAATTCTCGGAAGTAAGTATTCATCGTTTATTTATGTAAATATAAATATTTTATATAAGTATTTTTATTCTTAATACATATATTGATATCTTAATGTATCAATGTACAGTTGGACCAGAGCTGATTTAGAAACGGCATGCAGACAGCTAGGTTTTCAAGGTGGAAGATGGTGGTCGTGGTTGGACCGACAATGGCCTGCAAAGCCACGATTACTTTATGAACAACCAGATTGCCGAGGCACGGAGATGTCTTTAATGAATTGCGAGAAATGGCCCGAAAGACAACTTGGTGGCGGTGTTTGTGGTAAAGTTTTAACTGAATTTATAAATATAAGTTAGTGAAAGAGCATCAATATCGTAAGATTTCAGATTATCATCCTGATTTGGGAATATCTTGTCTACCTCGTCATGATGGAGCTACGAAGACGATAAAACATTGGCGAGGTATTCGTTTTGAGGAAGCATTATATACTCGACCGTTGATCCAAGAGAATACGCTTTATATACGAAAATCAAAGTCAATTTTACGAAACGTTGTAATACAGTAAGCATTTCTATTAAAATATAATTTCTATTAAAATTTTATTAAAATAGTTTCTTAGTTTTTAAAAATTTAATGAACTTATTTTTGGTATTGTTTTTATTTAAAAGATATGCAGGAACAGGCCGAGAATACAATATTAATTCCGCAGTCGATATCGAAGGTGTTCCACCGCAAATGGAATCGATTTCAGTTCTTCACAATGCCTTTACAGGTATTAATGTTATTAAACCCGATGCTCCTGTCATAATTAACAACTGTACTGTTCAAAACAATAGAGGTAATTTTAAATTTACTATCATATTGATTAATTAATTGCAAATATTATTTCATTTTTAAATTACAGGATATGGAATTTATATAAATAGTTCATCTGGAATGACATGTATTAATGATTGTAATATATTGGACAATGGTGCTGATGGAATTAAATACGTTAATTTTGATGAACGACCTGATGAAAAATTAGATCGTACAGAGGTGTTCGATTTATGCACATTCCCAACTACAGCTAGTCAAACCTTTCCTGTTATAATATCTATGGAACAAAGCAAATATGCGCCTAATATAAAACATTGTCCACAAGTAAATGAATTTATAAATTATTTTATAATTAATTATTAAAAATATATAAAAATGTAATATTTGCTTTAATATTAGCATATCTTCACGAGACCAGGACATGTGTTGACTATGTATTTTTTGCAAATGAAAACTGATAGAAATAATAGCGCTATGATAGAAATTTATGATGGCATAAGTGAAACAGAAAAGTTGTTAGCCAGAATAAAAGTGAAAAATGGTACACTGCCTCAAAGTGTTACAACAACTAAACAGAATTTATATATAAAATTTATCGCTGAACCACGCACAAACACGATTGTTTTCGTTCGTTTATCTTCAGGCTACAGTAAGTTTTAAAGAATTAAAAAATTTTAATAAATTATCATGAAATAATTAAATTTTAATAGAATTTTTAAATAAAATATTTAGTTACATAAAGATTTGAATTTTTGTAAATTGCTAAAAAGATTTTAAACATAGCAAAATTGAGTTTTTATAATTATGATTTAAAGAAATATTTTTATATATTTGTTTAGAATAATTATAAAAATTAGCATAATTATAAAAACTAGCATTTTATTCTAGAAAAAATCTGCGATCTTAATGTGACTGGAAGTATTATAGCTGGTAATAATGGAAGAGGAATCGCAATAGAAAAATTACGATCAGCCCTACATATCCATGAAACCTCTGTATCTGGCAATAAACACTTAGCTGGTGTGCATGTATTAGGTGGTGCCGCGGATGTGAATATTACAAATAGTCGTATATCTTTTAATATGGGAGATGGTGTGAACATTACACTCACAGGAGGAAATCGCAATATATCCCGGACAAGTATTTCCTCCAATCAAGGTTATGGTTTTGCAGTATGGTTAAATGATAGTTTAACAACAGAATATCTCTATTTTAATCAAACTACTATAATAGAATATTCACAGATATTTCGAAACAAAGATATTGGCATTTTAGTAAGTATATATATTTTAAAAGATATATATATAAATTTTATACTTAATATATTATTAAATAATATAAACAAATATCCATAGTTAATATTTATATTATCTACAGGTTGGAAATGCAACTGGTAGTTCGTATGTGAATGTGACGGGTAATTGGTTCAATAGTAGCGCTGAGACTGCAGTGCAAGTGGAATCTAGTTGGAGACACAATGAAGGATTATTGAGACTTCAAATTGGTCACAATTCTTTCGTACAAAATGCAAAATTTGGAATCAAACTGTTTCCTGTTCTCAATTTAAAAGCAACAATAGAATATAATCATTTTAGAGAACAATCTAATGGTTGTATATTAATCAAAAATCCACTTTATGAAGAATTTAATATTCTGCCTACAGATATCATTATTAGATATAATGAATTTTATAATAATCGTGGTGCTTTTGTAGTCAACATTGGACTTTCACCCTATAGTGATGTACAAAAATTATTATTCACTAGAAATTTTTTACGAGATAATCGTGTTCGAGAACTATTTGATAATGGCAATACTATAAGATCCAGATTAATTCCGCGTTCCAGGGTTGCAGCTGCAGTTGTTGTTTCATCAAGCAATGTCGAAATTTTTCGTAATATTTTACATAATCCTGAATCACGATATGAAATTGGCTCGCATTTAGAAGATCAAAGTAAAATTATTAATTGTACTTATAATTGGCTTGGATTTGCTGAAGAGAATAAAATATTTGAGAGATTATTTCATAGGTTTATATATTTTTTTTTTTCATTTATTTATAAAAACTTAGTTTTAATAAGCTAAGTTTTTAATATGCTATTCCATTTCAGAAAAGACAGATACAATCTTGCTAAAATTGAATATTTGCCGTACTTATTACATAGTAGTAATCCAGGGGCCAATACAATTATTTCAAATCCAACATTTGTACCACGATTCTTGACGCCTGGTACAAATTTAGTTGGTGGTGAAGTTGATGGTCTTGAGTTATTAAGTTCTGGTGAATACATTGTCGAACGAGATATCAATGTACGACCAGGTGGAAAATTGATTCTTCAGCCTGGTGTCACTTTACGTTTTCCACCAGCTGTAGGCATGATGGTTGCTGGATCATTAGATGCCCATGGAAAACGACCAAGTGATATTTTATTTACACTGAAAGAAGAAATAATTACGGATTCAGCTAACGAAACTTTTATGAACGAAGGATTCAATGAAATAAATGAAATGGAATTTGCATCTGTGAGACTTCTTGGAGGAAAAACAAATCTCGAAGGAAGATTACAAGTAAAATTTATTTATTTAAAATCATCAGACATTGATTTATAGAATAAGTTCTAATTTATATCCTACAGGTAAAAATAGGCGAAAAATGGGGAACAGTTTGTAATTATGGTTGGACAATTCGAGATGCAGCTCTTATCTGTCATCAATTAGGTTTCACTTTAGATCCTGACAATTGGTTTATGGAACGTTCTCAAATTCCAAATGCTGGTATCAATGAAGACATTATTTTAAGTAATGTTAGATGTAGTGAGAATGATAATGATATATCAAAATGTAAAGCGGAAACGGAGCAGAATTTTGAAAATTCTTGTACTCATGAGAATGATGTAGGTGTCAGATGTTCAGAAGCAGCATGGGCCGGTATACGACTAGGACCATTAGCTTTGAGAAGTGATCTCCAATTTGTAACAATAGAAAAAGCAGGCTTACTCGACTATACTACTAATTCTTTCAAACCAGGTAATATTTTGTATTATAATTATATCTAATAATTTTTATGTTATAAAAAATATTTGATTTTTAGCTCTTCAAATCGATTTTTCAAGACATTCATTAGATAATGTTCGAATAATTAACAATCTACAAGATGGTTTAGGAATTTTATATTCAGATATATATTCAGCAGATGCTGTAAATACTGTCAGAAATAGCGATTTTTCACGAAATGGAGGCAGTGGAATTAGTTTCAAACAATTAGGAATGGAAATTATTAATTCTCGAATTGAAAACAATAAAGTTGCAGGAATAAGACATAATCCTGCTCTTTCTGCAGTTCAACAAAGAGAATTCGCAGGATGGTTTTTGCGGGTACCAGATTTAATTGATTTATCATATAATCCAATAGTTATACCTCATGTACAAAATATTGAATTGGCTAATGAAGAAACTAAATATATAATAACAACTAAAATTACTGGTGATCCTATTCAAAATCGTATTGTTATTAGAGTAAGTTTATCTATCAAAAGGATCGATATTTTTTCCTGTTTTGAAAGAAATATGATTTCTTTATTTTATTTATAGTGTACACCAGGATACATTATTGGTATTCAACTTTTAAATCCTATTGAAAATCGTAGTACAGAACAAATTATTTTATATGATTCACAATATGTTGATCTTAGTCGTGAAACTTGGAATTTAAAACGCGATTTGGCAATATTTCCTGTAACATCAACTTCTTTCGCTGTAATTCTAGAATATGATAGTGGCATAAATGCACTTGGAGGAGCTGTTTTTGTTATTACGTCTCTTCAAGCTCCGATACAGGTATAAAATTAACATATTAAACATTTAATAATATAAATATAATCCAATAAAATAAAAATACAATAAAATATAATAAAATAAATATATTAAAAATTTATAATTTGCAGGATATACGAAGCAAAATTGTAAAAGGTCCTATTCCAACATTGCTAGTAACTAAATCTAAAATAAAGAATAACAAGAAAGGTATAATTGCATCATTTTACAATCGATATTTAGATGAAATTGGCGATCATTTTCTTCGAAAAACAAATGAAACTATTCAATTGGTTGCTTGTGAGATTTCTCATAATCAAGAGGAAGCTATTTATATATATTCACCCCATTGGAATATTTTTCAAAATAACATATCTGAAATTGCAATTCATATCAATAATAGTTTAATTACGGACAATGGTAAAGGAATATATCAGTTCAGTCGTGATGCAAGATATTCGAATAATCTCTTCCATTGGATAATGCAAGATAGCACAATTGAAAGAAACAAAAGAGGAGGATTTGAAATACTTTTACCTGATGTGTGGCAATACAATGAAAATTTCACGCACACATTATACTTTGATAATAATACTTGGCGAAACAATGAGCAATTTGGCTTTATAGTTGATGGACACTATGCTACTTTAAATATTTCTTATAATCGATTTGAAGGAAATCGATGCAAAACTGGTTTAATCTCTATTCAAGGAATGGAGAAAAAAATGAAGATTAATTACAATTATATTGAAAATAATACTGGAATATATATGGTGGAATTCAAGGCAAGTAGTCAATCAGAAATTTTAGGAAATGTCGATGCACGTTTTTATGAGAATGAAATTAAACGAAATAGTTACGATTTAATTGGTATGGGCGCACGTCGAACAGACAATAGTCCTAGTTATGTTGTTGGTTTTCATGGTATACAAAAAGTACAAATAAATAGAAATTTATTTGGTGAAAATTCTTTAGATTATGAATTATTGGCTGGTATTAGAACAGCTAAAATTAATAACGAAGTCGATGTGACGGAGAACTGGTGGGGAACTGCTAATGATACTAAAATAAGGTAATTATTTCATGAAATATACATATAAAAAAAATATTTATATGTATTTATTTATTTAAAATTTTCTATTATTATTTATTTATAGACAAAGTATTTTCGATTTTGATGATTGGAATGATCATGCAGTTGCTAATTATCGACCTTTCTTAATCAGTGATACTTTTGATTCCTCAGTATCTGCATCCTGGCAGATTATAAAAGAAGTAGACTTAGATAATTTAGGTGGACGTATAATAGAAAATCTATCTATTCATGCTAGAGATAAGCCTTACATCGTAAAATCAGATATTACAATCATGCCAGAAGCTACATTACATATTTATCCAGATGTTGTTATGGAATTCGCTCCTAACGTTGGAATTCTTGTTCTTGGTACATTAAAAGCTGTAGGAGCACCTGATCATGAGATCATAATGAAACCAATGGACCGTGAAAATGTTAACAATTCGAAAATGAACGAAAAATTAAGAAGAAATGGAAAAATCATTTCTATGTCGGAAGAAACTATTCGTCTTTGTAAAAATGGACGATGTTCTTCTTTATATAATGAAGGTAATTTTAAATATAATAATATAATATAACATATAATATAACAATAATATAATACAATATAATATAATATAATATAATATAATATAATATAATATAATATAACATAATAATATATAAATATATTACTGTATATTCATGCATATATAAATATTAATATTCTATTATAAATAAATATTAAATGTTCTTATAGGATTCTTGGAATTTTTTAATAAAACAACGTTACAGTGGATACCTTTATGTGACACTAGATTTACTGAAAGAAATGCACAAGTAGTTTGTCGACAATTAGGCTACGATGTACTTAATGTTTATGTGTCCTATGATCATAGATATGAGCTTCATCCTGGTTCTTTAATACGCGTTTGGTCATGGCCAGAACCATTGCAGGTATATAGAAATTTTAAATATTTTAAACTTATGCTTTTTTATTTTCTAATGTATAAATATTTTATTTTAGTGTACTGGAAAAGAAGAGAAATTAGAAGACTGTCAAATTAGATTAAATAGTGAGTTATATGGACACCGACATGAATGTCCATGGGATAGTCAATTCATTTTCATAAGTTGTGGAAAACGGAATCTAGATAATATATACGATTATTGGGGTGGAATACGAATTGCCAATAGTGAATTTGAACATCATTTATATGAACATCGTATTCACGATGTTGTAACTCACGAAACTGTAAGACGTATTGAATCGACCTTAAAATATATTAATATTATCGGTGCTGGAATTTTGCATTTTGAAAAATCAGCTGCTTTACAAACAATCATGAAATCTCCGATAATAATGCACGTTAATATTACTCATAGCGCTTATCATGGAATTAACGTAATATCACCGACTCACACGGTTTGTATTAGATTTTTTTTTATTTTTTAAATGAAATATTTTCTATATATATGAATGTATACCATTATTATTTACTTAATAATATTTGTTCATGTAGATCGAATTATTATTCAATACTATTAATAATGTGCTTGGAAATGGCGTGAATATACTCTCAATAACGGGAGAAGGTCGCGAAGCAGATGAAAGTTCGTTTACGCCAATTAAAGATCTTAGTATTCCTTATCATTTATTTAGTATGATTGATATTTGTGATACTACTAAAGAAATTATTCTGGAAGAACGAGTTATAGTTTATTATAAATATGATAATCATCCTGTGAATTGTGTTAAAATTTTTCGCAGTGCTTATAGAGCAAAACCCTTTGGATTTAGGTTTATATTTTCTTCATATAAATCATCTTATTAATTTTTTATATACTTAACTTAAAATTTAATATTGTATTTTTTAGGCTTTTGCAATTTAATCTATTTAACTCTACTGCAAAACCTGGCCGAACAGATACAATTACTTTATATGATGGAGATATTTACAATATTAGTGCTAAAATTATAGGTCGCTTGGAAGCTAATAGTATTAATGAGAAAAAATTATTTAGAACTCAGGGACCAAGTCTTAGTATAAGATTATTTGCTAATGGTGCAAGTCATGTATATGGATTTATAGCAGAAGTAGTTACTTTACCAATCTCTGCTATTGGATTCAGTAAGTAAATTTAATATATAACTAGAATACAGAATATTAATGTTTTTTTTTCTTCCACATTTAGATCGTGATGTGCAACATAATATTTCTTATTCTGTGATATCTAATTGTCGTGAAGGAGCAATTAAATATGCTAGCGCTGGTGAAGTAAATGCTATGATGACTCTTGAATATAATCAATTCACGAATAATTGTGAGAAATTATATGGTAATTTTTCAACTTGCAAATCAGCTGTATGGTTAGATGTTCAAAATACACAATCTTTATTCTTCAGAGTAAGCATTTTTATATTTATTATAATATTTGTAATAATATTTTTTATTTTTTCTTAAGCACAGTATATTTATTTTCATTCTAGAACAATGCTGTTCGACAAAATCAAGGTGGTCTTTCAATTCGAGCTGACTCTAGAGGCTCGGCGACTTCTTTGGAAGGATGGATCCACAATAATGTTTTTGCAGAAAATTTTAATAAACCTGCTTTATATGTGGAAGGTCGTCAAAGCAGTCCTTATCAAGAAGTTACTATATTTAGGAATTATTTTACAAAGAATAATGCTCCTTATGATAATAATATTATTTTAAAACAAATAGTTAGCAATATGACTCTTAATTATTTGCATGCCAATCTTGGTGCACATCTTTTGGAAATTTCCGGATTTGATGGAGTTCGCTTACCTATTTATCAAAGTACATCTCACAATGGTTTTTATAAGTATGCATTCTTCATTCTTTTATTTTTTATTTAATGTAATGAATTTTATTTATAAATTCTATAAAAAATGATTTTAGAAATTATGCAGTGGACTCTAATGGTCGCAGTACAATAGTTGCTGGAACTCCTGGCCAGCAATATGTGGATAATGTTTTCTTCAATCCAGATAATGATTATGAAATGCTTACAACAAATAGATCACAGTATGTATAATTTTAGATATTAATATTATTATATTTTATATATTAACGTTATATTTATATTTTCTAATTATCGAATATTAAAATTATAATATAATTTTTAATTACACAGGCAACTAGAAATGTGGAGATCTCATATAGATGCACGACATAATTGGTGGGGATATAATGAAACACTAGCTGTAGCTGGTAGAATTAAAGATAGAGGAGATTCTCCAGAGTTATTACAAGTTGATTATCAACCTTTTCACATGAACAATGAATCCGTTTTAAATGGTAAATGTCCACCAGCATGGGATTTGGTAGGCGATACGTGCTATATATATATTGGTGCCCCCATGGATTTCTTTAGTGCTCGAGAATTTTGTAGAGTGAGTCATCATTCAACTCTTGATGTATTTAATTATCTAATTTATAATAAATTTATTTATTATAAATATGTTCTTATATTCTTAGTCTGTGAACGCATCTATGCCATTCATTATGGGTAATTATTTGGAACTTTGGCAATTTTTGCGAAAACAACAGATTCAATATGATTATTCTGATCGTGCTTGGGTACAACAGTTAGATCGGGTAGATCAATGCACAACTTTCACTTATCAAAGTATTGAGATTGATTACTGTAATCAGTTAAGTCCTTTCATTTGTGAAATTGGTATGTTAATTATATATTATTTATTATTATTCTAAGAAAATATATATTAAAAGATATCTTTCATTATAGATCCTAGAGTAAATATCGATCCATTATCCTGGAGAAAAGATATAATTGTAGTGGCTGTGTTAGGATCAGCCGGCATAGCTTTAGTATTATTAACAGCAGCTATTGCACTTTGGATATCTAAATCAAAAAGAAGAAATCTCGAAAGATTAGAAAGACGAAATTCAATCAGACAATCTTTACATTCTTTACGATCAGTTGGCTCTACATCTGGATTTACTGAACTTGCATACCGACGCAAACCTATTGCAGTAAATATTTTCTTATTTCAATCAATTTTTCTATAATGATCTATCGTATTAACGTAATATAATTATTATTAAAAATATTTTTAGACAAAACACTCTACAGACACTTTAAATTCAAAGTCATTAGATTATAGAAGAATGTTAAATGGCGGAAGCATAGATTCAATGGATAAATCTCAATTAAATTCTTCTATGGAAGACAATCAAAGTTATGATGTATACGAAGCACACAATTTAAGATATTCTCCAAGTACAAGTGACTTCAAAAGTAATACTCAAAAATATGGCGCCTCACAAAGCGCAGAAAATCCAGTATTCGATTTAACTTATCGTAATGAAGGTTTTAGAAATCATTCCACATTTACTTCAAGGAGCACCAATGTGTGGCCTATAGAATCTGTTACAGAAACTACTGCTGATGAAACTGCAGTTATTGATGCTATTAACGAAAATTCTTATCTTAATACTTCTACTCTTCCATTGAATTCTAGCCTTGCCTTGACTGATTCAATTAGTGAACTGAAACGTGACATTGAAACATCAGTATCTTATAGTCCAATGGATTATGATTCAAAACGCAGTTATGATAATGCAACATTAACTCCAAGTCAAACATCAGAGCCTGTTCCAGAATATGCTTCAAACTTTAATCCTCCAATACCACCTCATCCTTATCATTATCATGAAGATAGACCTAGGAGTGAGGCATTATTAGAAACTAATTTGGATACTGGAGAAGAAAAACCTTTACGTTCAAAAAGTGAAGTTTTGTTAGAAACTAATTTGGATGTATTCTTGGTAAATGAGCCAACAGAATTGACACAACTTTCAATTGGAGCGCGAAGCAAAAGTCAGCCTTTGGAGACAGCAATGTAAATTGTTGATAAAAAATAAAATAGAAATAGTCAATTATTTTTTATAAATGTAAAAAGAAAAACTGCCAGAAATAAGTTTATTATTAGATTATAAGTTTTATATTATAATATATATTATAGCTCATGATGAAAGAATTTTTATATGGAGAAAATTTTGATTCAATTATTGTTTAACCCACCGAACTTAATATTTAATATTTAAGTTATTGGAACTCAAAAAAAAGATAAAATGAAATATTATTGAACAAAATATTTTATGTTTATCTTCTTTTTGTAGTTTGAAGTCGAGATCTCGATATTCGGTTGGTTCTTAATTTAATAGATATTAATAGATTTTGAATTTGAAGAACTATAAAGATTATTATATATTTTATATAAAAAACTTAAAGTAAATAATTATGTAAAAAAAAATAGTATATTTACATATTAAATAAAGTAGATAAATTAAATAAAGTAGATAAATCTTTTATAATTTTATGCAAGATTTTATAGTTAAAATGATAATATCTGCAATTAGGATAATTTAAAGAATTGTTTATGAAACATATATCTAAAATAATTTACATAATTCTTAGGAATTGTCGAATAATCAAATAATTAAATAATTAAATAATCTAACAAATAAAAAAACACAATATAAAAATAAAAAAATATCAAATACATGATATTATACTGCCAAACAAATGTAAAACAATATACGTTATTATACTAGCACGATGAGAAATAAATTCGCGTGTTAACATTGTGATAAATAGCTCTAGCTGAGCATAAATTGCATTTTAATTTTGTTAGAATACACTTATTCTCATCATATACAATTATACATTATATATACACATTAAACATACACAATATTTGATTCAGCATGTGAATTATTTAATAGATACAATTTTTTTTTTTTTAGTATGTAATCTTACTAAGCGTCTTCGTAAAAATTTTATAAGTATATTAACAAATTATCCGTCCATACATATAAGTTCATTATAATAATAGTGCCTTATTTGGCAATGCAATATATGTATATGTATAAATATAAATATCAAAGAATGTCTTTTAATTAAAATACATTTAAAATACTTCTTTCATATTTTTTATATTATTATTGTAATATTGTTATTATTATAATAAAGATTCAAAAATTTACATTTTACATACAATTTATCAAACAACAATAATTCAATAAACAATGATCTATTATAATAAAAACATATTTTTCCAAAGAAAAATCAAGAAATATTTTAACAAATAAGAATAAGCGTCGATTTTTTTTGTGCACGATATTTTTTATATATTTTTAGAACATAATTATTTTATGTTTAAATATTATTATATATAACTTTATTAAATATTAAATTATATATAACTTAATATTTATACATTGAAAATTGACAAAATTAATAAACAATTTAATTAAAATTTTTATTATTATTTTATCATGGCGAAATTAAAGAAAAACAATTTTACTTTTTTTATATATGTTATAATTAAATAGATATTTTGAAATGTGTATACAATATATTACATGACATGAAAGGATTGACGAATAAATTATGGAAGACTTTTAAACAATATTGAATATATTAATATTAATATCATTAATAACATTATTAAATATCAGGATCAGATTACTATTCGTCGTAGCCGCTTTTTTAAATCGCAAAAACGATCGGCAACAGAAGATCGCCCATGTTTATAATAAGACGAAAGTATCTTACATTTTTTTTTATTTTTTTATTTTTTTTTTTTTATAAAGTTTTTTATGTACTTAAGATTATGGTGCACATATAAACAAAAAAATAGCTTTGTTTGCTCTGCATCTTCTAGATGCAATTTTTTTAATTTAAATATGTTGAATCTTGTTATAAGATAAGCAAATGTATATACAATTTTCTAATATACTTAAGTGATAAGAAAATCTTGCCGAGATCGAATAAATAAAAATTTCTATTAACTATTTTCTATTAAATTTACAAATTATTTAAATATTTTACTTCAATTTTTTTTTCTTATTAAAAAATGAAAAATATAATTTAAAACAAAAAAATTTTTACAAATTTAACACGAGAAAATATCTTAATAATCAGAAACTATACTCATAAAATCAAAAACTCTTGATGATTTATTGTTCTTTATTCTAAAAAAGCAACTTAATAATAAATTTTTCAATTTATTATTAAAGAAATAAATTTATTTTATAAAAAAGAAATTGAAGGAAAATCATTTAAATAATTAATATTGAAACTTTATTTCGGAATTATAATTAAATTCAAAGTAATTAATTTAACAAAAATAACAATAGTAGTACTTTACCTTATATTTTTTTAATATGGGAAATTAGCTTTTTTATTTCTATTGCACACATCACAACAAAAAACAAAAAAATAAAAGAAATTATTGCACCAATATCATATGATATAGCACGTAACGAGAAACATAATCAACAATGGAATTTGTTCGTGGTACTCATTATTAATTTAGAGTACTATTTTATCTCTTACAATTTAACTTAATTCTTAAAACATCTAACACGAACGAATTCTATCTATGAATCAATAATATTAACTCGGAGCACTCGTATTTTCGAATCACCTCGTCATTTTTCATTGCACACTTCATCGCGACAAGAATCGCTGAATAAAATACAACAAACGCGTGTCACGAACAGTTTTGGCGCGTACGTTTAATCAGATAACTTCAGGTACTTTTAATTCGAGAGTTTTTCGATAATGAAAATGATCATTAAACATCTCAATATTATTGAATTAATCTGTATTATTAATCTTTCATTTTCTATATTTTTTCTTTTAATTTTATAACTTGTATAAAGTAAACTTGTATTTATAACTTGTATAAAGTGAAGTATGAATTATGTTGAAAAACAAGATAATTGTTATATATACTTTGATATTTTTTTTCTTTTAGAACGTACGGTAAAGTTTTTGATGATTACTGCTACACATCGATTGTCGATTATTGAAGCTCGTTTCAAACTTAGCTATAATATTTATGAAAGATATGTATATTTATATGTTCATATAATTTGTATATACAAATATTTGTACATACATATATTTGTGAAATATTGCATAATTCATAAAATATCAAATATTTTACCAAATTTAACTCTTAATTTTTATCCATAAAATGATTCTTTTTGAATGTATCTTTTTATATCTAAAATTGCACCTTTATATACGAGTGATTTACAGGAACAAAAACAGAGAAAAACATTTGCAAAACTGCAGAAATATGTTCTCTGACCTGAAATTTAATTCAATACATCTAATTCATTTCTCTCCCTATCTATAAATCCCAATTATTTTTAATATATTTAAAATTTTCAAGATTTTAATTTTAAGACTAAGTTCTTTTTATTCAATAAATATTACTTTAAGATAATACATTGAGAAAACTGAAAATTAATTACAAAAAATATTAATATCACATTGCCATGGGAAAGAAATGAAAAAGATAATTAAACTATTCAATTAGAAAAGAATAAAGTTGAAATATATTATACAGAATGTCCCATAATAAAGGAGGAAATTTTCGAAAATTGATTCAATCCCTAAAAAATTTTAAAAAGTTTATATAAACATATTTAAAATACAAATGAATGATATTTTACAAATATTATACAACTCAACTCATAAATAAAATCAAGTATGTATAAATATATTAATATATATTAATATATATTCATGTTTATATAAATTTTTTTTACTGTTTTAGATGCCGAATGATGCTGAATTTCCAAAATATTTTTCATTTCCTACGAAGCATCTTGTATAAACAAATTATGTAATTGAGCGATCAGTAAATCTCAGGTATTAATGTTTTCAATCTAATAGTTTAACAATTAATAACACAAATCATATCATATAATAAATCACTGTAGAAGAATTATAATTATAAATATGTATTTTACTACATACAAGTAAAATCGATTATAAGAATGAATCGATATTAAAAATCGAGGCAGTAATAATATTTTAACGGAAAATGTTCGTGAAATATTTGTAATATTTATAGCAGATTCAATGAAAAATAACTATAAAACCGCATTATCGTGCGATTCGTAGCCTCCTACAGCGATTCAAATAAACCAATGAACCGAAAGCTAACATGAAACAACACTTTGGAATTGCAAATAACTTATTCATTATAATAAAATTTGAATCTTTACAATGAATTAACGATAATAACGTATCTCGTTTGAATAATCAGAGATAGGGTATATATTAAATTTCATATTAAAACTTTAAATTAAATTAAGTAAAA